CCCCCCCCCCCCCCCCCGACTCGAATATGCTTATGCTTGAGGCAAAGGCACTTCATTTCTCTACTCTCTGCCCAAACGTCCTGGGGGTGCAGCCACCGTCCTTTGGGATCCCTCCGGGGCATGCAACAGAACGTTGAAAATTTGATAACTGGGGTTGGGATTTGGGCGTTGCCGCCTCGAGGAAAAAGGTTTATGGGGGGGATGTGAGCTCCAACTCCTACGGCATGCCCGGATGTCGGGCCAACCGTCTTCACGCGTCTGAATACTCCCAAGGCGGTACTACCGAGTGTGAGTCTTGGTGTGCTATTAGTTCATTAGTGTGTCATCCATTGACTCACCTGGAATAATAGAAGGCCAAAAATATTCAGACATTTTCCCGTTCGACCATGTATTGCTCATGTTGAGAATACACTAAAGCACGGTGTCGTGGAGGTAAAAGTCCTAGCATAACGGCCAGCGATCGTTCAACCCAGCGGAGAGCTGCACTACCACGCGCTCTTTGGGATCATCCATGCCGAAGGCCGTACATTCTGATAATAAACCGCAGATATCAAACGGTGCAGCTGTAGGGTATTTTGCCCCCGACCAGAGGATGTTTATGCTTTAGGAAGCGAACCTTAGTTTCCCGAAACACCTCTGCGAGGTGCAGCCACCGTCTTTCGGGATCCATCTCCCGCATGCAGCAAAACCTTAATTGGCTCACGTGGAAGAATAGAAGGCCTAACATACTGATACGCACTTTCCCGTGCGCGTATGTATTGGATTGGGTTATAACACACTCAAGCACGGCGTCGTTGAGGCAAACGTCTTAGTGAAATCGACCAGTGACCGTTCAACCGATCAGCGAGCTACGTTACCACAGGCTCTGCACGAAGATCATTCATGCCGAAGGCCTTACAGTCTGATAGTAAGCCGTGGATATCAAACGGTGCAGCTGTAGTGCAAGTATCCCCGCGACTAGAGGATGTTTATACTTCAGAAAGCGAACATTCGTTTCTTCACTCTATATCGAAACACCTCCGCGAGGTGTAGCCACCTTCATCCTTCGGGAACGGCTTACAAATGATCCAGTACACCAGCGCTTGCTGCCTGCAGGCCCAATATATCCCCATTGGTCATATATTGCTTCTTTATTAACAGTATATTAGTCTCACGAGAAACGGCACATGTCCGGCTTGCATTATCCAGCAATTATATAGGGTGTCTATAACATGCTTGATACGTCACTTGTGGGAAAACGCCATCCCCCAGTGGGCAAAAGAAGTAAATCTAGGGTTTGCAGATTGCGGCGGAGTGCAGCTAGGCACATCAGTAGCATGAAGACTGTACGTACAGCGTGCACCATTGAGTCACACTCATCAATCTAAGCTGCGTTGGGTTTGCCTGCCCCAAGTTGTTAGAGTAAACGACCCAACCTGCTAGTGCATGCCGATGGCGGGCCTACCGTAAGTGGTTATGCTCCCTTGCAGTTTGAGGCAATATAAAGTGCAAGAGAGTATTACCACGGTCGGCTGGAAACGACCCGAAGGGATTGAGGCAACCTAATCCCGTGGGGTCCTTTCCAGCCAACCTGAAACCTGTACATGCCAGTTGGGCTTTAATAACATGCCAGCTGGGCTTTAATCTAATCCATCTATGCGTGTGGAAAGCGATCAATCGTGTATCGCTAAGTACAGATATTTGTACGCCGCATTGTGCGTGCTAATTGCTATAACCAAACCACAGGGCTTACCAACTAGTGGAGAAAGAGAAAGAGAGCCATATATAGATAGATAGATAGATAGATAGATAGATAGATAGATAGATAGATAGATAGATAGATAGGTAGATAGCTAGATGGATGGATAGATAGATAGATAGATAGATAGATAGATAGATAGATAGATAGATAGATAGATAGATGGATGGATGGATAGATAGATAGATAGATAGATAGATAGATAGATAGATAGATAGATAGATAGATAGATAGATAGATAGATAGATAGATAGATAGACAGATAGACAGATAGATAGATAGGTAGATAGATAGATAGATAGATAGATAGATAGATAGATAGATAGATAGATAGATAGATAGATAGATAGATAGATAGATAGATAGATATAGAGATAGAGAGAGAGTTGACTCCCTGAACGCACGTTCTAGTGACACGCGAGCGACAACAGCGAGGGTCACGAAGTCGTGTCTTCTATTGCGTTTTAATGTCACTGCATGTTTCCCGCCAACAAACGAAACTTTCGCAAGCTAAGGAGAGCTCTTGTTACAACGGCAAATGCTCCATCGGCACTGGAACAGTGACGGCACGTAATGGATGCGTCCAACGAAAGCTTTTCCTGTAGAATTGTAATTTAGGCGGTCTATGACGGATGTACTGACACGCACCGTCTGCGCATTATCGAGTTATATCATTTATAAATCTCCCACTTAACAATTACTAGGTGAAGTAGCTTTGCTCCATAAACAGCTGGCACACTTCACGCACCATCTTCATGTCGCGCTAGCACGTTAGAGGCAGAATATAAAAGCCCAAATATAAGATCGGCGGGGCCCCATCCTTGTAGCTGTTAAGGACGGTAAATGGCCAGCTTGTTTCAAAGTTTACATCTAAATACAGCACCTAATCCGCTTTCCTGGAATTAGTCTGCAGTGAATGACACACAATCTAAATTGCGAGACTTTCCGCCGTCCAGGCTACAATTATTCCAATGGAGTGTCAAACGCCCAGCGAGCTGTTTACAAGGTTTGAGCACTTTCCTCCGTTCAACGTGAAGCTCGAGCACCAAACCAAACTTGTTCCATAGAGAGCGAGAAACAATGCGCACAATCTAAATATTTTCAGCATCATTGGAAAGACTGGGTGAATCGGGCACGGGATTTTGCAACAAAAATGCCAACGAGTTCATCATGCCGGCAGGCGGAAATAGCGATCCCCGAGTTCCGCATACACTACAATTTAGACGTGCGTCATTTGCTTCTACATCCCTCCGGCAAACAAAATTGTACAGCACATTGAGGTTTATAGACACTAGCAGCATTTCCAGTGCAGACGGAGACGGACGTGGATCCTATCCATATTGACCATGCATCACATGAGGAGACAGCAAGCATTACTTCAGACTACACGTGGCGAGCATGCAAATATATTCGAAGCCGTCATGTCGTGGAGCCCAGTTAAAGGAATACTGCATTAACCCGCTAACTACAACACGCATACAGATGACTGTAAACCTATCCATGCTCAGCTATGTTAAAAACTACAGTTGACAGACTGATCACGGTGGAGAGCCACCTGACTGCAGCTCCACCGGCTCCACCATCATACACATTGCTATTGTCCTGCCACAACCCAAAACAAAACCACATAAGCATAAAAAAGGACGGGGTCTGTGCGCGCGCTTGCCTAATGTATTTTAGGCAGTCCCGCACTCCATCTGCAATCATACCGGCGGCCAACAAGAGATACTCATACGACCAAAGTTATAACGCACAGTCTAGTTGCCACGCGAGCAAGCAAAGTCAATACCATTGATATTCGAGCTCATTCCAACAATAAGCGAGATCGATACGTTACGAAAGACATTTTGACAACACCCTTCACCTCCGCACGTAGAGGAACAGCCGCCCACTGCCGCTAAACAGGCGAAAAAGACAAGTTAGTGGACTACCGGAAGCAACGTTGAGAAAGACTTTCTTAGAGGCTCCAAGGGCATTAGTACCACGTATGGCGCTACGCAGGTACTCCACAAACAAATGCAAGAAGCCAGACAACGTCAGCAAAGCCTGAATATCACCACAAAATATCGGAACACGACAGTCCACGAACGAAATCTCAGCCGCACGCGACTCTTCCCGAGAAGGTCTTGCACGTTTAAACGGTCGGGGCATTCCACGGAGGTCAACATCCACTCTTTGCAAAAGCACAGTGGACGCAACTACCTCGCAGGCGATGGCTACAAGCGAAAAGTCTACTGCATTAGCAAGCAGCAAATCTGCTTGTGCAGCTAGAATACCACCGCGAAGTATTCCACCCGTTCCACAGTCCATACCAAATAAGTAGTGCGCACCCCAACACACTACGATGGTCTTCACGAAGCCAAACAACGACAGTAATTCAGGTTCTTTAACACTTCACATACTTGCTGGGGAGCGCAGCGGGCGTTTCACTGCATCCATACACGACACCCACCCGGGCGCAAGCGCGACCGTTAACAGCAGCTGCATGCAAACCCGGCGCAACCTCGAAAAACAACCCCTGCAAAAACGACACAGCCGGCCAGCTTCTCTGGTCAATGACGAGTATCTCCAAGGTTCGCGTGAATACAAGCATATTTGGGTTTCCGTCCTGCCAAACACATATTGTCGCAATCCAATGCATACCGCCTGTACGCCCGCAGAGAATACCCTACGCCCGCGATGCCCTGCACACAATATCTCTAAAACAACCCAACAACCCCACAAAGTGTCCCGCACTTTTTCACGCCTGTTGCTGCCACCAGCGGACCTTGCCTCTCCTGACACAACAGTGTCTAGAACAAAAGGGCCAACGAGAACAGCCCAATGGGGAAAGATTCAGCCTCAAACGATTCCCTACATACGCCGCGGCAACAAGAACGGTGTATCAGTTTGACCTCAGCACCCCACAGTAAAATGCTAAGTGCGTCAACTACTGCCACCCGGCAATACGGTTCAGCGGGATCCAACACACACATTTCAGCTTACGCTGTTAAACCAAGAGGTACACCCTTTATCCTTCATGATTAGGTACGCCCTGCTGGCTGCTAG